CACCTGGGTGGCACAGTCAGTTAAGTCTCTGACTCTTGGTTTCTGCTCAAATCATGATCTCAGAGTTGTGAGATTGAGCCTTGTGTTGGGCTCTGCACTCAGCATGGAATCTGCTTAGGTTTCTCTCTCTTTCTCCCTTTGCCCCTCTCCCCTATGCACTCTCTCTCTCTCTCTCAAAAAAACAAATAAACCTTACAAAAAGGAAAACATATATAATTCAAGCCACATATGTAATTTAAAACTTTCGAGCAGCTACATTTAAAATATTGAAAACAAAAAGGTGAAATTATTTTTAATAATGTTTAACCAGTTAGTCAAACTATTATCATTTAATCATAGAATTATATAAAATATTAATGATATATTTTACATATGTGTGTATGTGCATGCACTAAATCTTCAAAATAAGGTATGTATTTTATACTTACAGTGCATCCCAGTTTAGATTAGTCACATTGCAAGTGCGCAATAGTCTCATGTGGCTAGTGTCTATCTTATACAATACAGGTCCAGAGATTAATTTGCCCACAGCCACAGAGCTAAAAAATGCCAGAGCCAGAACTTTAAATTTGGTCTAAAATCACAGTTCTTTTATGAACCACTGGGCATCACTGCCTCCTACTAATTGCAATTGTTGCAGATGGTTAAAATTAAATATGAAAAAATATACAGAATGTAATTCATCCAGTATTACAGTTTTATGGCCACATGCCCACCTACTTTCTCAATAACAATGATTATTCATAGACTATAACATTTATGAGCAAAGTTCAATGCAAGTTGTTGTGGACAACACAAAGATGAATGGGATTTTATGCAAAATAACTATCACTTGATACAAAGTACCATTCTCATTTATCTGGATGGCTTGTGCATTCTCTGTGCAACAGAATACATGGAAGTCAAATTACAATCACATTGCTTGATAAGGGGTAATTCAATGCAAGGGCAACTGAAATCTCAGAATATTTGATTTGCTTCATCAATCTCATATCAATGGTGGTTTTGCTAGTGAGATGAAAATGAACATGAATGGGAGCTACCAAATTTCATCTCTCTGACTCTTTTTTAACTAGGTTTCCATGGCTGATTTAAGGACTCACTCTTTGGAGTACACATCAGAGTAGACCGGCTGGGTCTTTTTCACATTAACACAGTATTTCTCAGTTTTAATCAATTCTTACCAGCCTGAGAAACATCCTTACTCATTGAAGTATTTTAAATCTCTTCTCTGATCCAGTCTATAATTATATAATGGCTTCATAGTTTAATCTTCACAAATTAGACAGATTTCCATGTTTCTAGGGTACACATTACCAAAATTTCCCTTTTCTGATTTTAGCAGAACCCCAGATCAAGTTCCAAGTTGGAACACTGAACAAACAAAATACAATAAATGTCACCGCTCCTTCATGGTATTTCCTCCAAAAAACAAATTCCTACAGTATCCTTTTAACTTTTAAGGGCTTTTGTTAATTATATAGTTTTTAATGTAAAGCAAATTCTGAAAATGTGTAGCCACACAACTGGAGGACCATATGCTGAGAGTCAGCATAATGGACTGGATATGACATGGGTTTGAATTTCCCAACTCTCTATACTTTATATCTATAGAACCTTGGGCATTTTATCTAGCCTCTGTGAATCTCTGTTTCCTCATTTGTTAAAAAAAGAAAATGAAGCTAATAATAGCTATTTCACAGAATGGTTTTGAGGATTAATAAGACAATGTATATAATATTGATGGTGCATAAAAAGTATTCAATCAAAGATTCCTTCTTTTTGTATGTAAAAAGAGTTGAGTCCCCATCAGTTATTTTAGAGTTAAAGTACCAGGAGGAGAGCTTTTGCCACATGCCCTGGCTTTTGGTTATGCCATTGCTCATTGATGCCACCATCAGACAGAACACAGGAGAAGAGAAAATGGGAAATATTTTCATTATTTTTAGATGTGGATTTCTGTCATTTTAATAAACAAACTGCATTTCTCAGATGATTTTCTGATTTACTTAGTTTAACTGTTAGTCTCCTTGGTCTGTAAGTAATGTTTCTACTCTACAGAGATAATTTTCTATTGGACTGCACACTTAAAACTAAATGCTGTGCTGTACATTATAGAATAATCCAGATTAACTATAAAGCAACCATGTAGCTGAATTTAGAAGTTATACACTCTGGGGACGCCTGGGTGGCTCAGTCGGTTGGGCGTCTGCCTTCGGCTCAGGTCATGATCCCAGGGTCCTGGGATCGAGTCCCGCATCGGGCTCCCTGCTCCGCGGGGAGCCTGCTTCTCCCTCTGCCTCTGTCTCTCTCTCTGTCTCTCATGAATAAATAAATAAAATTTAAAAAAAAAAAGTTATACACTCTGAATGGAAATCCAGAGTCTGTTACTCTTCAGCTCCATGGTCTTGTGCAAATTATCTGTCTTCTATGAATTTCAGTTTCAGGAACTGTAAAATGTAGATAATAATATTAACCTCTTGAGTCTGTCAGGATGATAACTAAATGCTTCATAACAATCACTGATTAGTTCTCTCCTCCTGCATTGAATTTAGACGGAAATTTTAAGAAATCAGTTAATTGGTATCTAAAGTGGTTGTTATATTTTAAAACTATGGTCTCAGTATTCCATGTTCACAATTGTTATTAACTTATTTTTTTAAATAAGGTATCGTAATAAAAATTTAAAAATGAGGGAAGTTGAAAAAAAATAAAGTTGATGTTATAAATGATTATTAGTGCCCCGAGAGTGCCTCCATGGCACTGTCTTCAGACTGTCCTGGATCAATCAGTGATTTTATTTTCATTGAGTTCCTGCCATCCTCTATGGCAGAGTATTATCCAGAAATGCAAACCCTAAGAGTCAGAACTGTAACCACTTGATAGCTTCTAATTTCATCTCAAAGACATTTTCCTAGTTTCCAAGAAGAGGACAATGCATGTGCTGAATACTATGAATAATGAAGGCAGAGTTACAGGAGGAGTAAAATGTAATAGTAAATACTTCAATGTGTTCTCTCTCATGAAGATCACACTGAACTGTGGTGCTAATGACACTCTCAATAGTAGATTTACATGTAAAATAAATAAATAAATAAATAAATAGCAAAAGGAAAAGGAAAGTGATATGAGGATTATTTGAATGAAGGTTTTAACCTTCAAAAAATATCAGAAATTGGAAAGAAGGCAGTTATGAAGATGGAAATGAACATACTAGGGAAAGAAGTCATAAAGATTTGCCCTTCAATGATTAAAAAAAGCGCAAAACCAAAACAACTACCAAAAATTTTCCATGAAGAAGCTATTAGAGAAAATCAACTCATGATAATTAGCATTTTTCCCCTTCTTGATGTTCTACCCTACGCAGATGCATTCCCTCTTTCATTCAATAGACAAAAAATAAAAATGAATAATGTGCTCTTGGCACCCAAAAACATTATCTACTTTTACTCTTTTTATTTCAGGAAAGAAAGTCTCCTCCTCAAGACAAAGCAGAGCACTAGAAAAATAAATCTTTCTCTTGGTTAAACATGGAAAATGGATTTTTCCCCCTAGAACCCAACACCTTTCTGAAGAGGAATTTACTGGTTCATTCTCTGGCCTCTGGATAAATTTAAGGACTCACTCTTTGGAGTAAAAATCAGAGTAGACCGGCTGGGAAGGTTTTGGTTGTTGCTCCTCTTTTAATCCCATGACTGGGACGGGGAAATTAGCCCTGTTTCTAATACCCACGACCCAGCAGAGGCATAAACCAGCCACACTGCCCCTCCTTGCTTTAGTGTTCTTGAGAAACCTGGCACGCCTTTGCCCGACCTGGCGTCACTAACCAGGCAGCTGGAGCGCTCTGGCAAGCACCAGTCTTGCGGGCTCAGGGCTGGCTTCCTCCCTCTCTTGCATCCTTTCCTACCTTAGAAATGGTGTTCTCCACACCCGCAATGCTGCCGGGTCTCAGGCAGCAAAGCGCTGCACCTCACTAAAGCAGCCCGAGGCCACCGACCTGCTTACTCTCCTATGTACTTGTTGTCTGGGGTAGCCAAATGCTTGATCTCTCTGCCACCCCTCTCTGCCACCCCCCGGACATCAATCTGAAAGGCAAGCTAGGTACCAGACCTGGCTCACAGTTGAGTACGATATATGCAGACCCAGTCTCTTGGCTCCAACTGCGGTTTCGCGCGGCTCTTGCCCCTACTTCCACCAGTTTGTCTTAAGTATCCTTTGTATGAGAAAATGGTGCTTTGAATGCTTGTTCTCTAGCAGGGCCATCAGGGGGGTCAGGAGAAAAACACACATAACAAAAATGAAATAAAATTTCTGCAAGATAATGTGAATGAGTTAAACCTAAAAGGAAGCCAAGACAGCAGCGAGTGGAGGGCCGAGAGGAGCAACGCATGCCCTAGTTCTTACTCTGCAAAACCCGCAGCCCGAAAGCGGCGCGTTTTCCCCAGCAGCGGGTCCGCACTGGAGCGAGCAACCAGCACACACTCTGCCGCCTTCAGGGGGCGGCAAACAGTACTTCCTAAGCTTACCGCCGTCTCGCCCCCGCCCTTCTCCCCTGATTCTCTGTCTGCCGGGAGGGGCCGCTCCCGGAGCGGTGGGAGATGTGGGATGCAGAGAGTGGGGACCAGAGGGGGTTACCCAGCTGTAGGTAGGTGCTGCGCCATCCCCTCCCAGCAGGCGGCCCGGACCCGGGTTTACTTCTCCCCTCACCCCCGCCCTCCACTTACTCAACCCCCCTCCTTTCCCGCTTCTTCCCCTCTATCTAGTCCCTCCCCCTCGCCTTTGAAAAGGGCTGGCTCGGCACGGGCTCCATGCAGTAGGTGAACCGTCAGGGTAGGAGGATCTGCGAGCCCGCTCGAGCCAGAGCTACACGCAGCGGCCCGCGTGGCAAAGCAGAAAGCAAGCTGAACTGAATGCGCCGAGTGACATTAGCAGCGGCGACACAGGCCGCCCAGGCAGCCCCGGCGTACTGAACAGCCTCAGAGGCAGCCTCCACGACTCCAGCTGCTTCAGGGACTGTGAGCTGTGGCGGTTGAGCGCGCTACAGCAATTGCAGTCTCGGTGGAGCTAGCGAAAGCCTTTTCTCTTTTTTACTTACCATCTCATTCTGCTGTAGAGGCTTCGTTCACTGGGTAAGTATCGGGTCCGGGTGCCAGAATAGAGTGCGGCCAGTGAGGCGTGAGTACCGCACTTAGTACGCGGAGGCTTCCCGCTGCCCACTCCTGGGGTCTTGACTATGACAAGAATGATTTTAGAGACGCTTCTGGTGTCCTCCCTTTCCTCTTCCCCCATATGTTCCCTGGAGGTAAGAGAAAGAGCAAACCCCACAGGTGAGCGCAGATAGAATATCTTTTAGGCACTGCCACCGCTTGGCTTGGCTTGGTTACTTTGAGAAAACTCTCACTTCTGTCAGAAAAGTGTCCACTCATGAATTTCCCCGACATTGGCCCTGCAAAAAGGTCTTTCACTTTAACAGATACAGTCAGCTTCAGCCAGGCTGAGGGAAACTCTAAGATTGGGGCAGGTGCTGAAAAAAAGATCATACCCGGGACTCTGGCTAGCCTGGCAGAGCGGAGGGAGCTGTGCGCTTGTATCTCTGGGGGCTAGGGGTTTGGATCCCAGCCACGCTGGCTCTAACCTTTGGGGGCCCGACCCTTGGCACAGAGTGAAGGAGAGCGCAGCGCGCCACGGAGCGCGCAGGTTCCCCGGGCCGTTCTGCCTGGTGCTGGCCTCCCCGCCTTTCCTTCCCGCCCTACTTATGGAGCTGTGCTCAGCCAGCAGCATCTGCTGAATGTGGAGGTGGTAGGTGTGGAAAATTCTGCCTAGCTTTAAAAAAGAAATTTCTTATAATCGTACTGAAAAATACACTTTCCTCATTAAAAAAGAAAAAAAAAAGACTTGTTCTAAGAGCGTAGCCGAACGTAAAAGGGTCTCTCTCTCACTAAAGAAATGACTTTTAATCCCTTAGCCAAAAAAAGTCACAAAACAGCAACAAAAACAAGACCGCCCACCTAGCCCATAAATGAATAGCGTTTATTAAGACAGAACCTAAAAACAGTTCTCTCCAGAAAAGAATTATTTTTTTTTAAGCGCGTAGCCATAAAACAGCCCTTTTTCTCGAAAATGAATGCCTCAATAAGGACGTCATCAGAAAAGGTGACTTTTTAAAAGCGCATAGTCGCAAATGGGTGCTTTTCTTTAGAGACTTTAGAAAAGCAGAGAGGCAGGCTGCCCTCGGTTGGAGATAGAAATTACATATGAACGCTTAGCCACAAATTGACTTCTTTTCCTTGCCAAAAAGCGGGGAGGTCCCTTTCCAAGAGTGTACAACGGGAACCACTTCCTTTCCTCCCCAAGGAAACACTTAGAATTCAACTGAAGAGGGCCTCTTCATTTCCATATGAATTATTCCAGGTTTTGCCACTTTGGCCGCCAGGCGGTTTGGGGTGGGGTCGCCCGGGTGCCTTTATGGAATGAGCGTGCACACGCATCTGTAGGAGGGTCCTCGCTTCTCCGAGTGGGGTGCCCTTCCAAAACGTTGGCTGGGGGCTGGGAATCGAAACTTGCGCCACTGCGGCACACCCACAAAACAAAGACCTAAGAAGAGAGTGGCTAGCACAAACGAATAAATAAAATTAAATAGCAAGAACAAAACGAAAGCAAGTCCTTGTGTGCAAATATCTCATGATGGCATTTAATCCTAGCACAGGAGCTGTTTTTGTATTGAGGAAAGTATGCGGAAGGAAGTGTTTAAAAATTGGGATAGGCCGGGAAGCGGGTAGAAAATATGCGGAGGGGGCGATGGTTTTGGAGGAGTGCTTGCATACTCTTAAGTGCTGCAACAAGGAAACAACCTGAGGATAGTGCAGAGAATTCTGAACACAGCGCAACATCTGAGAAGGTAGTGGTGCTTTAGGACTAAAGCGACTCTTCCTCCTTCCATAAAAGGTTAAAACAGGTGTGACTCGGAAAAAAGAAAAGGTTACTCGCGGGCACCTTCTGAACTTGGTAAAGACTAAATAGAATTCCACTCTTTGAAACAAACTCGCACAATCACGGCCGGAAATCTAAGCCTCAGGGCTGTGCTTTAGCCTGCGTATTTCGGGGGTGGGATGGGCATTTGAGAGCAAGTAGAAGTAACAGTATTTGTAGATGTTTCCCCCTTTCTTGCCTTTGTCTGGTTCATCCGAGGAAGTGCGGACGATATGCGGGCGGTTTTGATGAATGAACCAAGAGACAGACGCGCTCAGGTCTAAAGATACCTTTCTCCCTCTGCTAAATTAAGAATACCCTCGCGCAGTTCGCAAGGGCTGAGTCCAGCCACACTGCCACCGTGCTGCTTCTGCCAAGAGGTAAAGGAAAGCCTCCACCAGCGAGGCCCAAGAACCTTTTTCTCCAGTCGCCTTCGCCTGGGCAGCCCCTCCTTCTGGCAATGATGTCAGCCCATGAGAGGCAAGGCCAAGAGAAAGCCGAGCCTGTAGTCCCGGTCGGGAGCGCGATCAACCCTGCCCCGCGCGCTCCCGGTACGCAGCCGCCCTCGCTGCCTTTGGGCCTCCTACCCGCGCTCTAGGTCTCCGCCCCTCCTTCCAGCTCCCAAAAGGCGCACCGAGACCTGGGAGGCGGTAGAGACTAGTGCCGGTTGGGGGTCAGGGGCTTTGAACCTCGGGATCAAACACAGATTGAGGATCTCCCCTCATTCTTTTACTTCCCCTACCCCCCCCCCCCGTTCTCTTCCCCCTTTCAGTTTACACCTTAACTATTAACTGTGAATTTACTTATTTAGCGGCATTTTAGAGGGCACGTTCTTCGGATAAAATAATAGTTACCAGTGTTAAATGTCCGCTGCTTTCTCTCCTTCCTGGGTGATAAAGGAAGGGGGATGTGAAGACCGGCGTCTCTAAAATCCCGTGGCCATCTTTTCTCCCTAGAAAGCGAAGAGGGCCTTCTTGGCAAAGAAATGGTGCGGCGGGGAAGGGGGTCAAACAAAGGCGGTGGCGCTGTGTGAGGAGTCCCCTTCACTGAAAGAGGGACTAGAGACTGGGAGTTGTGAAAAGAAAGGTTCTAGTTGCTGCTGCTGCTGCTGCTGCTGCTGCTGCTGCTGCTGCAGAGAAGAGGCCACCGTGCTCCTTATAATGAGGATGCACAGTCCCTGGAGACCGGCGCGCCAAATCGGGAAGATTCAGGAATAGGATTTTTTCAAGACAGAAGCCCGTTTAGGCTTCCTCTCTTAGTTTGCTTTTCTCGTTTTAAGGAGCAACCCACCTGTTTTCCTGAATTTGAGGCTAATCCTTTACCTCTGGTTGCTGACAATCCTTACTTTAGTTTTGGGAGAAGGACCTCAGCGCGCAGTTGGAGAAGGTTGCACAGGGCAAAAGGGAGGGGACCTAGACAGGATGTAGTTAACTGGGCCTCAGAACCTGTTACCTTCCCAAGGAAATTATGTTCAGAGAGGATCACAACAAACTGCTTACTTACTGTATGTTGGTTTGGAGGCAGGTGGGAAATTTGGGGGAAAGGAAGCAGTAGAAAAGAATTGCTATGTTTTGTAAATCTAGGATTTTGTTTTCTTCTAACCTTTGACAGACAGCTTCCCTTACGTGGTATATCAGAAAAGTCAGCAAACTTAAACTTGCTGTGCGTTTGAAATACAGAAATGGGAAGGAAACACAGACCAAGCATAAAAACACATTCATTTTCTAAAGTTCAATTATTCGCTGAGGGTTGAAAGGAGTCTTTTTTTTTTTTTTTTTTAATCACCCAAATGCAATTCTGATGGACACCCAAGAAGTGTTGGTTTGGGCAGCTGGAATCCCTGGCAGAATGGATTCCAGGTTTCACACTATTTATTCTCTTGGTATCCAAAACTTTGTTTTTTTGCAAGATAGAAATTCCTGATAGAGAGCTTCCAGAATGCTGGTGGCAGGAAGAAATCTGGTAGAAACTTAGAAAGCAGAAAATTCTCCTTTTCTCTATGCAAATCGTCCACAACAGCCTTATCTAGGATTTGTAAGATTCTTGGGGTAGGAGGGGAGCCACACCTATAAGGAGACTTTACATTAACCACTGGCTTTAGCCTACTTTGACAAAATATGTATGGCTGCCACATTTTCTATTAGTAGGAAGGGAAATTATTCAGGGGATGAAAGTTTGAAATCTAATTTTCTCCAGGAATCTTGCTTCACATATTTTAAAGGAGGTGTCATCTGTGTATTTATTTGCCAAAGTATCCATAAACATTAATTAGTCATCTACTGTGTCAGACAATGTGCTAGGCTCTAGGAATACAAAAGAGAATATGAAAAGGTGGCTTGATGCCTCTGTGAGCCAGGACACTCATAAATTTAAATACAATGTGATAAATGTTCTAACTGAGCATAATGGAGGAGAAATTAATTTTTGTTAAGAGATTGAGAAAAGATTCATAAAGAAGATGTTTCTCTGGCTTTGAAAAATAAGACATTCCTAGGCAGTGGCTAGCCAGGAAGTAGACCTGGAAGAGCCTCACAAAGACTAAGTAAGGAAAGGTGAGGGCCTGATGTCCCACTGTGAAGTTAAGAGGTATGTGTGTATTTTGTAGACATAGGCCATCTTTAAAGTTTTTTTCAAGCAAATATGTTAAAAACAACAAGCAGGTTGAGGAAATTGGGTAGTAGGTGGCACACAATAGAAACATTTTTGTTGTTTGTTTTTAAATGAATATTTGAATAAATTAATGCATTTGGAAAAGAAAGTGGAAGCAAATAAGTTAAAAATATACTGCACTGGGGAGGGTATGTGCTCTGGTAAGCGCTGTGAATTGTGCAAGACTGTTGAATCTCAGATCTGTACCTCTGAAACAAATAATGCAATATATGTTAAGAAAAAAAAGAAGAAGGTAGCGGGAGGGGAAGAATGAAGCGGGGGAAATCGGAGGGGTAGACGAACCATGAGAGACAATGGACTCTGAAAAACAAACTGAGGGTTCTAGAGGGGGAGGGGGGGGAGGATGGGTTAGCCTGGTGATGGGTATTGAGGAGGGCACGTTCTGCATGGAGCACTGGGTGTTATGCACAAACAATGAATCATGGAACACTACATCTAAAACTAATGATGTAATGTATGGGGATTAGCATAACAATAAAAAATAAAAAAA